AGCAGCGGCGGCCTTATCCATTGCGAGGCTCTGGGCGGCAGATCTTTGCGAGGCCCTTGTCCTTTGTGCAAAGTATGTGAATTGAAATAGTAGGCACTTATTAATATTAATATATACTGTATTATAAATTAAATTTATTTTATTGTTATAACTAATAGCCAAAGATAAAATAAAAAGTTTTAAATATCAACTTTTTTCTACTTGGTTGTTGCGCGAGGCCCCTCTAAGAGCGAGGCTCCAAGCGATTACCCTGCTCGCCACCCCCTAAAGGCTGCTATACACCATGGGTTAATTCTCAAAGGAGTAACCATGCATGCCTGATTTTGAGTCATTCCTGGATGTGTGGGGGGAAAATTTTAACAGCTTCGGCGACCTGTACCGACCACCTGAGTAGAACTGGAAAACCATTTGATTTTCCTGGCGCAGTGTCAGACTGCGCAGGCCGACCTAAACGTGTGTGAGAACAATGTCTCGTGAATGTTTGGAAGAATTATTTTCTATAACCTTATTAACTTTTATTATTTATAACCTAATAAATTAATTTTTCAGGTTATAAATTATTTTCGGATCAAAAATTTCTTGAGTAAATTAAAATTATAAATAATTTTAATATTTAGAAAACTTCTCAATTCATTTCTTCCGTTTTCATAAAACATCTTGATACTCTTTATCATTTTCTTCTACATTTTAAAAAATTTATTGTTTTAATATCCAAGTAAATTAAAACATGACAACTTAAAATAAGACAAAGTTTAATAAATTCTTTTTAATTATTAAATTATAAAATTAATTTGCGATAATAATGTTTACAATTTGTACTAATATCGGATGTGGTTGAGAATTATTAATATATATTCGTCTATAAAATTTAATCCATGAATTTTTTTGGTAGTAAAATCGACTTGCCATTGTCTTTCGCTGATAATTGATGCTTTTTAACATAATCTATAGCCCAAGATTTCTCTTGAAAAATTAATTTTGTGATCTGAAATAATTCCATTAAAAAATTATTCGTATGAAAAATTAATTTTGTGATCAGTGCTACCCAAACCACTACTACTACTATTTACACCATAGACTTCTATGCATACTTTTTTCCCGCGAGTTTTAATAGAATTTGTTGCCAATAAACATCAGTGGCGTAATAATAAACACAATGGCGTAGCGAACATAACTGCACCCGGGCCGCGACACTATATTGGCGCCCCCTCCCCCTCCAGAAACAAATTTTGTTATTCTTGGAAACCATTAGGCTCCCCTCTGCCAGTGGCGCCCGGGGCAAGCTGCCCCACCCTCTGCTGAGAGGTTTTCTTCGTTTTTGGGCGATAGGAAATTCAAAAGTTCCTCAAGGCCAGGCAGCCTCAAAGGATTAACCCATGGTGTATAGCAGCCTTAAGGCCGCCACTGACCATAGCTGTAAAAATCTAAATATGTTAAACTTAATAGATTTTTCCTCGTTTGTTTTCTAACTAATTCGTTATAGGACTAGGAGTCCACGAAAATTTCCAAAATTTACAACTTTTCGTTCACTCTCGTTGAACTGGAAAAGTTTCTGTTTATATTATGTCTAATATTACGAAGAAATCAGTCCCTACTGTACTCAGCTAGAGATTGGTTCCATTTTATTTCATTGTCGATAGACAAGTGCCGCAGCTTAGCGCTTTTTACTCCGGAAGAAACAGAGAGGAAGAGGTGGTCTTATAGAAGACGACCAATCCGAGGAAGACAGGGAAGAGGTCACTTTATTTAAGCGACCAAACCCGGCCTTATAAGAGACGACCCCCGCGAGAATGCCTTCCGGGAGGACTTGGAGGGAAAGCTAACCCCTATTCAGGCGTCACTGGCAAGGAGGAAAACCCGGAAAAACTCCAGCTGCCAGCTCGTCCGAGTGAGGCTCGAACCCCCCCTCCGATCGAACTCCAGTGTTTAGGGTCTGGTCACCACTATTAAGCGGAGACGGAGTCCACTCGGCCACCGGTGGGCAGAGATTGGTTCCGTTAAGACGTTAAGCTTTTAAGTAATATTCCAGCTCTTTCATCAGGGTTTTGTTTATGTTCCCAATTCACTAATCGCTTAATTATTTAACAATTCTTAAGTAGAAATAAGTCGAAACCAGTTACTTTGTACTCGAATATTTGTAGTCTCGGGGAAAAAATGGAAAGACAAATTTCTATGACAACAGATACGTAAACCGTAAATTTAAGGAAAATAAATTCTAAAGCTTTTACCGTACCTCGTGCATCTCTCTAATTTATTAAATTTAGTTGTAAATGATGCTGCCAAAGTAACAGTTAATTTTTTAACATTATAGAAAAATTGCACACGTTTTTTTCTACATCCAATGGGCTATACAAAATCGTAATATTACTGGTTTAACATTGAAATCCGTAAGTAATATAAGAGGAGAGAGCAGAATAAAAATATCAAATGTTTTAATGGATTTTTTTAAACTCTTGTCAACTATACGGAACTATTGTAAAAACATACCAGTAAATTCTTATCGGTTATAAGTTATAAATCTACTCGCTATTCACATAATCGGGCGAGGGCGGCCAAATATCTAGCGGGCGTGCGGCTAACGGCTCAGAACCTGCCCTGGATAAAGTTGGATGCGGTATACGTGTAGCATCCACCCGAGGTCCTAGACTTTTACCGGCTAAGGGCTGTTTCACACTATAACCGACTGGACCGACTGGTCCGACCCGACCGGTTTTATAATCGGACCGACTAGTAGTAAAAGCATTCACACTGAGTACGATTATATGTCGGTGGCCGACTCGTAAGGACCAATCGGAAAGCGTGTTACAGATTAATACACTAGCCAATCATGGTAAGTTTTTCAATGTAACAGAAAACATGGCCTTCATGGAAAGCGATTGTGCATTTCGAATTGTTTTAAAACATATTTCTTTCGTATCTAGAAATTGTAGTTCTGAATATGCTACAATTTATCGTCAGGCCATATCTTTGGCAACAATATCCATTGCAATATTTTATAAACAGCACAGAGGTCATAGGCAGTTAACGAACCTCTTTGATAAACGTTTTGATAGCAAATTTTTAAAATTTGCGAGAAAAAAGTACATTACACTTTTAATAAGCTTAAACAAGTGCATCATCAATAACGATGTCGAAGGTGTCAAACACTTTATGACAGAAATAAAGAGAAGTGCAACAATTTTACTGATATATAAGAAGTTCAGCACGAAAAGAAAAGCATTGGGTTCGTCCTATTTTATTGGAGCGAGAGGAAAAGGGCGAATATAGAAGTCTTGTACAGCAAATGCGGATATGTGATAAATCGGGATACTATATGTATTTCAGGATGAGCCCAGAAAGGTAAGTTTTGACACTTTTGCATTCCATGTTTTATTTATATTTATTTCAATCTTATTTTAATCTAATAAATCCTTAGTGTATAATCTGAGATACGAGTTTATATACAAACTACTCAAATGTAAAGATTGAATAATTCTACTAACAGAATATTTTGCTAAATGATTTAGTTAGTTCTATAATATAGCATTTTTATAAATGTTAGTTCATTTGCATAAACTATTGAAGAATGTTTTTGTAATGTTAAAATTTGTTTTTTTTTTATGTTGCACTCCTAAAATAAATTATACACAANTGCTAAATGATTTAGTTAGTTCTATAATATAGCATTTTTATAAATGTTAGTTCATTTGCATAAACTATTGAAGAATGTTTTTGTAATGTTAAAATTTGTTTTTTTTTTATGTTGCACTCCTAAAATAAATTATACACAAAAACAATCCACTTCAAAATTGAGAAACACTACTATAATGTATTTAATTAAAACATATTTCATGCAAGCCAGATAAAGTTTCCATTAGAAAAAAACTATAGAAATTCTTATTCTTTCAGATGAATGTCTAAAAATTTTCACAAAAATTTAAATTCTGTAATGTCAAAATTACATAACAGATGAAAATTGAATTTATGAATGACTTTCAATAATATTTATTTGTATTTTTAGATTTGATGAATTGTTGAGCAAAATTGGCCCANTTTTATATTGCACTCCTAAAATAATTTTATATACCAAAACAATCCACTTCAAAATTTAGAAACACTATTATAATTTATTTAATTAATACACATTTCATGCAAGCCAGATAAAATTTCCATTAGAAAAAAACTGTAGAAATTCTTATTCTCTTTCAGAAGAATGGCTAAAAATTTTCACAAAAAATTAAAATTCTGTAATGTCAAAATTACATAACAGATGAAAATTGAATTTATGAATGACTTTCAATAATATTTATTTGTATTTTTAGATTTGATGAATTGTTGAGCAAAATTGGACCACTAATTACAACTAAAAATATAACTTTTAGGAAAAGCATATCACCTGCTGAACAACTTGCATTGACATTAAGGTTTGTATCAAGGCTTTACAATCAAGTTTTAATATCTATATAATTCCAAAACAAAGTATTTGTATATGTTACAATTTATTTTGCTAAAATAAATATAACATATTTCTATAACTATAATTTTTATTTAACATGCTTAAAAAATAAGTCAGGTGGATTAGATCTTACAAATAATACTGGTTAGTGCAATTTTTCTGTATTACATTTCAAATAATTACAATTGAACTAACCAGTGAATCTGAAAAATCTTAATCTTTAAGATTCTAGATAAGGTTGCCTGTAAGGAAAATAGTATTTCAGATTTTCCTTATAGACATTATCATCTTAAATTCTTCAGGTTAATTGAACTGCATATTAATTTTAAATAGTAGTTTAATTTTTGTAACTTTTTATTAATTCAATTTTTTCTTGGTTAACAAAACAGATTTCTTGCACATGGAGGAGAACAACAAATATGTGCATTAAATTATCGCATTGGTGTTTCGACAACACATAATATAGTGAAACGAGTATGTGATGCAATATGGACCGTGTTTTCTAGTGAATATTTGAAGGTAAACATTATACTTTTCATGAATTTTTAAAGAATATATCATTTCAAATTTAACAATGTTATTATTTCAGATTCCTGATAAAGAAGATTTTATACAAATCAGCAAAAAATTTAATATGTATTCCAACTTTCCTCAATGCTTAGGAGCAATAGACGGTAAACATGTTGTTATTCAGCAACCAAAACATTCTGGTACCGTCTATCATAATTACAAGGGTACGAATAGCATTATTTTGATGGCTGCATGTGATGTTGAATACAGATTTACAATTGTTGAGATAGGTGCACCCGGTATCTGTAGTGATGGAGGGGTGTTTAGTAATTCTGTATTTGGAAAATTAATCGAACAAAAAAAATTGGATTTTCCTGCAGATGAGAAATTGGCAGGGTCAAATGTTAAGGTTCCATATTGCTTGGTGGGGGATGAGGCCTTTCCTCTCCTTCCAAACTTATTACGTCCTTACCCTGGTAAAAATCTACCTCTTGAACGGGCAGTCTTCAATTATCGCTTGTCTTGTGCAAGACGCATAATTGAAAATACATTCGGGATATTAGCAGCCAGGTGGCGCATATATAAAAATATTATTAATGCTAATCCTGAAAACGTCATAAAATTTGTACAGGCAACAGTATGCCTACATAATTACCTCAGGACATGTGATGTAAGATGTTTGTCCCAGGAAGGTGCTTATTGCACCAGTAATTATGTGCACCAGTAATTATGTGGATTCTGAAGGATTTAATGGTGAAAGAAATCCCGGTCAGTGGCGTAATGAAACAGATACAAATGAAGCAATGACAGACATTACTACATGCTATTTTAAAAATAGTGGTAGTTTTGCGAAGAAAGTTCGCGAATTATATCAAGACTTTTTTATGAGCGAACAAGGTCGACTTCCTTGGCAGAATGAAGTTGTAACAAGAGGATCAACTCCAGAATTGTATAAATAAATTATTCTAGTAAAAAACCGTAAAAATAAAATATTATTTACATATAAAAATAAACTTTTTTATTCCGATTCCTCTGCTTCTTCAAAGGCTTCTTCAATTTTTTTCCGTAAATTATTTTTTTTTTACATTTTATTTCGCGGAAACGTTCTGTCAGTGACATGAAATAATAATAATCACTATCATGTTTAGTTTCCACTATGGGAGTATTTGTACTTTTAAGTAGGTCGAATAATTCCTTCTCCCAATCATTTTTTCTTTTCTTTTTGTTACATCCATCTGAAATTACAATTTATCATTTATAGAAAAAGAAAACTTATAATGTAAAAAATGATAAAATTAAATTATATTTACTTACTTAAGCCACTTGAACTTGAAGCTGAAGTGAAAGTATTTAAGCAGTCATCTATGTCATTGTTTTCTACGGTTAAAATGGTATCTGGGCAGGACATTTCAAATGTGTTAGACTCTACATTTTCTTTATTTGAGTCTTCTATAAAATTTAAAGTAAAATATACATTTAATATTTTTAAGATAAATGCTGTGAGCATGTACTATGCAAATAGTTATATTTTAAATGCTTATAGAAGTCATACTGAGTAAAACTATCTAATCAAATAAACTTTAAATTTTTGTTGTAATTTTTTCACCCAAATAAAAAAAAATTCAGTAAACAAGTTTTTCTCTGCATAAATGGGCAGGATATGAAGAATGTTATTTCATATATAAATGTTTCAATGTACATTTATCTATTCTATTAAACAAATGTACTTTACTGTTTTAATTAGCAGATACACAGAAAAAACTTTAATATATAATTGATAAATTCTAGTTTTATAAAAATAATAAAACTGATATCTTTCTTATAAGCAGTAATTAAGCTCAGATCAAATTTAATTTTACATCATTTGTCTAGGTACACATTTATTTCCTAAAACTAATTTTTACCATACTCTGTATGATATCTATTGTGGGATTATTAAATTTTTAATTACTAGAAACTGTAGAATCAAACATTAATTTCTTAATATTGTCAAGTAAGAGGATATATTTAAAACAAACCTGAATTATTTCCTGTATTTGCTTCTCCCAGATTTATGTGATTTTGGGAAGATTCCTTTTCCTCAACAAAATTACTTATTGTGCTTAATAAATAAAATATTTGATAAAGTATTTTTTATTATAAAAATTGAATAAATATCTGATTATTTATACAATAATTATCTAAGATAACTTACTTTATTTGTTCAATGCCTGGTCGCAGAAACGAGAGCATATTAAAATATGCCCATTGTTGTCTCTTGCGACCTCCAGAACCACTAGGAAGATTCTCCTCTTTACTTTTTCGTCTATATTGGTCGCGGATATTCTGCCACCTTTTCTTCACTAGTGATTCTGAAAAATATTTTACATTTACAATGTGATAACTTATTAGATATATCTCGTCATTATTAGATTATTAGATTAGTCAATCACGTACCTTCAACTTTTAGTTTCTTGGAAATCTCCGTCCAAGAATTATTCTTTTTATATTGTCTTTATCGCTCGCCGAATATCGTAAAGCCACGGATATGTTCTGACTTTGTTTATTAAACACTCCGAGAAATCCATACTTTCCGCCATTTTCTAACTTCGACGTATATTGTATAAATCTAAACTCTGATTGGTTCTAGCTTAAAGCTCTCATTGGCTGTAGCTCACCGACTGCTCCGACCCGACTACAAATATTTAACTTTTCAAATCTGTCCGACTGGGACGACTACTCGGTCGGCAGACTGCTGTTGCCATGGCAACACGACTTGGAGTCGAACCAGTCGGTCTAGTCGGTCATAGTGTGAAACAGCCCTAAACCGGGCGAGGTCGTTGCTCTGTAAAGTGCGTGCTCAAATCTGGCTTTCTGGATGCTAACAATACAGCGCTTCCACTCCATCACTAATATTTTAATATGCAATAGCGATTTTTTTTCACGTATAGTATAGAAATTTGTAATAAGATACATAATGTGGTTATAATAAAATATTGTGCGATTATTTTCATATAATTAAAATTAATATGTATTTATTTGTTTGTAGAAATGGGCTGGCAGAATTACATTTTAATAAAACATAAAATTCATCTGGATACGAGTCCAAGTTTACTTGTTATGTCTAATCACCAGGAACAACTATTTCCATTGCAGAGACAACCTTTCTTTAGAGGCTATGCCTCTGCACGAATATGTAAAACAGTTTAAAATGTCCACAGGTGACAATCCCAACACAATTAAAAATATAATATTTGTTTGTAGAAATGGGCTGGCAG